TATAACGTATAGATTGAATAAATTGGTACACAGCTGTTTTTTGTTTGTGGGTGTGAATCACTGCCCGAATGACCTCGCCCCAGTCTCAACGAAAATCTTCCTTTTTATTCCCCTCAATTTCATGGGTATATTGTATTTGGTCAATATTTTCTAACAAGACAAATAAGTTCGAAAATATTAACAAAATATTGGTTTTATAGTGCTAAATTATGTATTACAACGGAAATAATAATTTAGAATTTAAGTTTAATTCATGAAATCAATTATTTCTTAAGTTAGCGGTATTTCATTGTCGAATCAATCGTTTTAATACATTCGATGACGGCATTTCCTCGTGTTCTTCGTATTTCCTTTCTCTTAATTTGAGATTTTCACAAAAATATTGTGGGAGTGAATGGGGGGGTTTTACATATGACTCTATAAAAATAGCCTGGTTTTGTTGCATTTGGTTGACCGCAAAATACGCGCGATGTTGTCACCCCAAAAAATCTCTCTTGGGACCCAATACTTAAACATTACGTTTTAACGTACATGTGGGAACACATGTTTGGCGCCCAGCAAAAGCAGCTGAGTGGGAGTGGGAGCGGGAGAGAACGAGAGTGAGTAGAAGCGAGTGCGAGTGAACGAAAGAATAGCCCCCACCACCAATCTGTGGGTGTGTATTATTTCTCTCATTCTTTATCTATATCTCTGCTCTCTCCACCTTATAGATGTGTGGCGGTGTGTGTTTTCGAGTAAGCCGGTAGAAATCGCAGCTGTTTTTGCCTATTTTTACGCTCACACATTTTTTGCAACAACGGAAAACAACAATTCTCTAGCGGATTTTATGGTTCGTGCAATTCTCGTCTCGAGTTCCGTTATGACCAAAAATGTTTCGATGCTAATTTTAGCAGGTCTGTGATACTAATAAATGCGAAATCTGGTTTTAATGGTTCATCGAAGAAAAATTAAGATAAATTAAAAATATTATTTTTTATTTTACTATTGAAAACTTGGAAATATATTTTTTTATATCACTTTGCTATCGGGTTGACTTTATTTTGATTTACAATGTTATTCTTAGCTACGTTTTTTGTTTATCCCTTTTTTTTTTGCAATATTTTTTTTTGTGTACCTAAAAGCAAACACATTTTGCTATCTTCAACTTTTGCGTGTCCATAGAGCGAAGGCAAGCCAAAAATTTGCACAAAAATTAATGTCAGCTGACTTGTTTTGTTTCGCTTCTCTTTTCGTGGCGCTTTGCACACACCTGTCATCATCATCTGCAGGTGAATAGTCGAAAGATAAGCGAGAACGCAACGTTAATTGTTTCTTCTTTTCGTTGACGTTCGTTCGCGCAATAAAATGGAATATAAAAAGAAAATTAAACCGACAGATGGTAGATAATGGGAATAAACAATAATATCAGTATAAAGTGGATAAGAGTTCTTTTCATCGAAAGTCTTTGAATAAGCATAACACCATTAAACTAAACTAAACTGATAAGTGCACACTAAAATTGCCTTTTTGTTTTCAATATTTTTTCAAGTATTTTAAAAGCAGTGGAAAACGACGTGAGATAGAAATGAGAAAATCATTTTTATGAACTTGTTTAGTGCTTAGAGTTCACAGTAGATAAAATTTCATTTGTTTCGAGCAAGAAAGTGGAGTTTCCATTTCCGCAAAACTATTGGTTATCAAGAAGTATCTCGTTTTATAGCTTATAAATTATTTAGGCCAGAAAGATAAAAACCCTAAGGTTCCGTTTTGGCATTTATTTGTTTTTTTTTTTTCGGCAACGCAACCACCAAAGTAGTAAAAATAAATTGATTTTTCTCGGTTGTTTTTGTTTTAAACGCACGTTAACAAGAGGAAAGCGCCACGCTTAGAAGCATGCGTGCACGCACGTAGGCCAAAAAAAACAAAGAAACATTGGTGCATTTTTGGTGGTTGTGTTGTTGGTCTTTCTCGCATCGAATCAAAATTGTATTTGTTATTGGGCATTTTTTTCTATTGGGTGGCCCCCGCTCTTCTCTTTAAAAACGCGCCCATTTTACTATCATAGAACAAGAAGTAAACACAAATATTTTACACAGCTGGAAGTATTATTGATAATAATGTATTTAAAAAATGTAAAATAAAATAATTTGACAACTTCACGTTATTTGTAATAAAAAATTTAGTGATTGATGTATCTAAATATTCATTTATTAGTTTATTTTTCATAGGAGCTGTGAAATATAATTTTTTCATATGTAGTTTATATATGTACACACAGATGCATATAAATACAAATGTGTAGGCCTCTGAGTGCCAGCTCAGCTGATGACGAATTCTCTCGTGCCGGCGGCGTATTTGCTATTTTTATGCATCTTCTTTTATTCAATCAACGAAATTGTAGTGCAAGTTGTAGGGTGGGCAAACAAAAACAACAACAACAACGAAGAAAGCAATGGTACAACAACAATATGAGCGCCAGAAACAGACGCGCCATTTATAGAAGTCAGCTGTCAAAGAGCGAGAGCGCAACTTCCAATCGGGAATAACTGGAAAGCTTGTGAGAGACAGCACGTGGGAGAGGCCGAAAAAGCTCGGGCCCACATGTTTTTCGCTACGTCTGATTTCCGTTTCGCGGAACGAACGATAATAAAACGAACACGAAACCCAACGAAGGCTCCATCTATCTCGCTCTACCGTCATACGATTACCCCTCTACCTGAAAAACAGATAGAGGGAGAGAAAGAGAGAGAGAGAGGAGAGAGGAGAGCACAATAGCAAGAGAGCGACTCTAGCAACATTTGTGACGACGACGCCGGCGAATATTGAAAAACTTTTCGTATTGGAACTGTTGCTGGCTTCTTGTTGGAAAAAAGTACAGTCACCGCAAAAGCGGCCGTTTGTTGTGTGTTGTTGCTTTGTTGGTTGGCTTGTATTCGCTCTGAATTGGATTCTTGTTGGCTCGCCAGTTTGATCGTCTTTTTTCGTTCGTTGTTTTCTTAGCTTTGTTTATATGCTTTTGCTTTTGACTTTGCCTTTTGTTTACACACACTGATATAAATGGTGGTGGATTTTTCTTGCCGGCATTTTTCACCCAACACAAACAACTACTATAATTGAGAAGACAACGACATTTTCTTATTAGCCAAGGCCTCAACTTGCCGGCTAGTAAATGCGATTGTATGATAGCGGAAGGGGTTGGTTAGTGTGGGCGGATCGGGAAGAGTGAACCATATGTTGTGGGTATGGGTAAAAAGCCTGTATAAAGCATATGATTATTCCAATCGGACGAAATAACAAGTGTTTTCCATCTGATAAGCAAAATGATGAGAGATTCTTATTAGGAATTTTGTTGAAACGAAAAAATAATACAAATAGCAATTTCTGACTTTAAAACACAAAAACAGCTTTACAAGTTAATTATTTTGTTTGACGGAAGTGTAATAAGAAATTGTTTGAATGTATACATACATTTCATAATTTTGATTGTAAAAAAGAATTATAGTATCATAGTTATCAAAACCAACTTGGTTTAGTTTATCAGACAAAGCGGCAAAATTTTCACCCGCTCATCTTATCTTTCCAATAGTTCCCATTGTCTGCGACGATTTCCAATAGACAAGTCAATGAACGACCTTTGTGTGTAACAACAAAAACCACACCATAGAAAACTTAAATATGCTACATATGTGTGATTTTTTCTCGCTTTTTGTTGTTGATTTCTTATAAGATATGCGCACGACATTGCAATGTCGCCGTCTGCGATGGAACCAGATGGAAAGATATGGCGGGGTAGGGGGAGTGTGAGATTGAAAATCGCTTGGGTACGTAATACAACTACTGGAAGCAACAATAATAAACCCGAGAAAACTGTACACACTACAACATGCTCTCTCTCACTCTGAGTGGGAATACGAACAACAACTATACAGATGGTGTGCAATTGATGGGAAGAAAAGAAGGTGAGAGATACGAAGGGAGAGACAGAGAGAATGAATGAGAGCGGGAGCAGCTGTGCGATGCCGGCAGACCAATGTCGTTATCGTTGTTGTTTTGCCCAGCCATCCTTTAGTTGTTATTATTGCTTTTTAGTAATGACCTCCGACAACAAACCGAAATCGAAACAAGTTTTTAACAACAACAACAATAAAGAACTGCATTAAAGCAGAAAAAGATTTATGATTTTTTTTGTTTATCAAAGCCTAAGAAATGCATATGCATTCCTTCAAACAAAGAAATCTTAATCATAAAAATTTACAGTTTTTATAAAATTTTATTTCGAAATCTGCGGTTCCAGTGCAGCTTCTATCAGTTCGGCGGTTTTCGTTACCAGAAATAAATAAATAAATGTAATATATAAGTAGTATGTTCTTATACACATATATAGGTAATCTTTGTTGCAACCTTAAAGCTAATTTTTTGCATGCAGCAGTCATTTAAAATAAGTAGTTTTTTGTCACTTGCTAGTGTTGTACAAATTTTCGAAGAGCGCGCGCATTTTGAAGGACACAAGTTCTTTAACCTTTTCGCCAAGCCAGTTTGTTGTTCCCAGCTTTACTACGCTGTTTACTACAAACAGTGCAAAAAGGCAAACAAAAACAGTCAAGGAAAAATGGAGAAGGAACAACGCATGCCATTTATATGTTGTTGCAATGAAGTCTGCTCTCAGAAATTATGCTGTGCCTTCGTCCTCTTTCTCCTTCGATTCTCTTTCTTATTTTCATACTCCCAGCTGGAGATATTCCGTATGTGTCTGTCTTCTGAATGGCTTTTATTGTGGGGAGAAAAAAGAGGGTCCGATTAAAGGTTTAATAATTTCCTTCACTTAATGACAACCACCCAAGGGAATTCAAGATATAACGATGTAAGTCTTTCGATTAAATGGAATATTAAATTAAAATTTATAAAACTTTTATTTACCCTACATTATCATAGATCCTTAGCGAAAATATACCCTCTTCTTGTACAACACTGTTATTTATATATTGCTTAAAAAATTTGCTAAACCTTTGTTTTATTTCCAGGCTGCCATCCTGCAACAGACTTTCCAATACATTGTGGAGCTTGAAAACCAGAAAACGCAGCTGCTGACACAGAACAGTGAATTGAAGCGACAGGTGGGCGAGCACGAAGCCGGGGGTGGTGGTTCTGGTGAGGGTGGTGCCAACTCCGGCGGAAACTACAACGATTCCAGTGTCAGCGGAGGCAACTCAACGGCGGTGGCTGTCAAGAAGCGCAAACTGACGGACAACGTTATCAACATCCAAGCGATTAGTGACAGTTCCGATGAAGGTCTAGGCTCAATGTCGCCGGAACCGATGACACTGCTAACAGCTGGTGGAGCGGCGGGCACCAAATTGAGCAATGCCACCCTCATAGCGGCAAAGGAACTGCATGAGTCTAAGAAGCAGCTGGAGAAGGAGCGAAGTCTGCGAAGACTTCTCGAAGATGAGCTGCAGATGATCAAGCGTCAGCTGTACAGTGTGGCTACCGCACCACCAGGAACTGCAGTGGCAGCCGCCTCCGGGGGAAATAGTGGCGCCTTCATTCCACGTGAAGTCATCGAGCACACTGATAACTTTGTTCGTAGCGACGATTTGGAGGATCTCGGCGGTACGGTCTCTTACGTAGAAATCGATGAAATGACTGGACAACAGCAGGTTGTCGTGTGCTCCAGCATTGAAGAACTGGAGGCCGATGCCGCTGCCGAGATCATCACCGAAGACCAGGTGCACGAGGAGGTCATCCTGTCATCGAATAGCTCCACAGAGTCTGAAAACGAAGTGAACGTGAATGCTATTGCCAAAGCCTATGCCGAAGGATGCACGTCGAGTGCTGCGATGCTGCAGCCCATTCTGCAGGCGGCCATCAAGGCCACGCCCAAGGTTGAGGTGGAACGCATACACGAGAAGATTGTGAAAGTAAAGGCGGAGAAGCACGATCTGCCATCGATTCAGACCCACTATCAGCATCCACATCGTCAGAATCTGGAGACCATAGTTCAGGCTATTAGACATTTGGAGGGCGATCATCTCTTTGCGGACGGAAGTGGTGGCCAAGAGAAGTTTGGACAGCAACAGAATCTTCAGCAGCATCACCAACAGGTGTCTGGCGTCCACCACCAGCAGCTGCATCATCATCGTCTGGCACAGGATGCCCCGCTTGCTCTCACTACCACGGGAAAGCAACATGCGGCTCTGGCGGAACTCCGACCTTTTCTTCAACTCAAGAACGGCGGTAACAAGCAGGTGATCATTACGGCCAAAACGGCTAAGGATGCTGCCGGATTGATCTCCACGAGCAGCAGCAGTACCACGGTTACGCCGACGGCAATTTTCAAGGTGCAAACAACGGGCGGACATGGGAGTAGCAGCCATTTGCCTACGGGTTCGACAGCGGGCACCATAATCACCGGGAGCAACGGCAGCGGTGGCTCCCAGCAATTGACCATCACCACAGCCTTGAAACAATGCCGACCGGGCGTGATAGTGGCGAAACAGTTGCCGTCGTCCTGATTCAATAGCCCCAAAATGGGAACGGGTTCGGGAAATAATGCAGCTGGAGGAAAAGCAGGAGGAAGATGTGGCGCCCAGCGTGGGGCAGGAGCTGTAACTGGGGCACGACCTAGTATTAAAGGCGCTCGCCAGGACACAACAACCACACCGACAACAACAACCGCAACCACTCAACAATTTACTAAGCAAAATCCTTTTGCTGCCTCCCGGCAACGTAACAGAAACAGTAACAGTAACAATAGTAGCAGTAACTTTAACCTTATTGTAAGCAGTAAAAGTAGTAGCATCATCAGCAGCAGCAACAGCCACAGAAATGTTAAAGAGACTGTTACCAAACAGAGGCAGAGGGAAAAGATTGTAAATTAGTAAGAGTTTAACAAACAAAAAACAAGAAACAAAAAAAGAAAATTATATACCAAGCAGACCTAAACAAATTTTGTATTTTTGAGATATTTATGATTTTATTTCAAATTCAACCAAACCTCTCTTTCCAAGCTTCAAACGCCAACAACCAACCACAACACATATAGCCACTGTAATTAAATGCAAAGGAAAAGTACACATTACATTTGTTCATTTATTGGTTAAGAAACTAGAATTAACAGAAGAATCATAGGATACAACTGAGTAATTGATTTTGAACAACATAATAATAGAGCAGCAAGCAACAGCATAACGACAAAAAACGAAACCGAAACAACAAAACAGAGTACAAAAGAAAATGAAAAAGAAAATAGACATAAAATTTATGAATTTTTGTTTGGTTCATTTGCTTGAATTGCATGCAGTGAAAGAGCGCGAAAAGAAAAAGAAAACGAAAGTAGGGAGTTGCCGAAATTGTTTAAGAAAGTTTATTGACTATTCCTTGAACTCTATAAACACCATCGCATTAATTTTTACCTTTTTTAAATTATTTTTTCTTATCTTTAATTTTAACGTTTATAGGCGTACATTATATACTTTGAATGGAACTTATTGAGTTTTTGTTGATATATTTGTGTAAAAATTTTTAAGTCTAATTATGTAAGCGAGAGCAGAGTCGTGGATGGTAAACATTAAACAACAAACAAAACAAAAAAAAAAAAACGAAAAGAAAAAAATTTAAACAATCTAAAGAAAAGAAAAAAAAAGCAAAACGAAAAACAAAACTAAAAGAAACTGAAAATCGTTTATTATATAAACTATTATATAAATATATATATATATATAAATATAAATTATATACAAAATACGCATACCTACCACAACATATATAAATAATACATGCAGAGTACATACGAACATAAATAAGTAACGGAACATTACATAATATTACTACTAAACTACAATAAACAAATACTTTGCATACATATTTAATATGCTTTAGTAACATAAGTACGACAAGTTCAGAGAGAGTTTAACCAAGAATCCCTCGACCCCTTTTCCCGCAACTCCCCCTTACAAAAAAAAGAATGCGCACGTGTGAGCGAGAGGGCCTTGCAACTGTCTCCCTTCGCCAAGCTGCGCCGACGCTGTGGAGTTTTTCTCATAGATGCCAGCTACGACACCAAGTGTCCTTGCTTGGGCGTCACTCTTGAGACTAAATTCGAATAAGGAAAATCTTCGCGCACCGTTGCCGCGGCTTGGCGTCCCGCATTTCCCCAACAAGGAGAGAGACTATGAGAATGATGAAGGAAACAGAAAATGCATGCAGGCAGCTAAATGTTGTCACCCACGCTTACTCGCCCACTCGTCCGCATTCAAAATATTTGATTAAGAAAACATTATGCAGGCCGTTCATAGTTAAAGGAAAAGAAGTCGTGAAGAGAATATAAGCCAGGTCATACAAAATCAACCACATATTACTACATACATTCATGCTCTATGAAAACAAAAAAATACAAAAAATTATGTCAAATAAATGGTTTTTCCTTTTTCCCTCAACAAAAAGATAATCAAGTTTTTAATCGGTGGTTTTAGAAAATAGTTTTTATGGTTCTCATTGATGGTAATGAATAGTATCATCGGGGTTAACTCTTAATTATTAATTTGTAAAGATGTAACGTAAATTTTCTATGTTATTTTTATTCATAATGCTATCTTAAAGACTAAATATAAAAAGCTACATATACGTTGTATATTTGGAACTATAGTTGCTCCTCTTCGATTTGAAGATCTGCGGTGAAAACGTACACATCCCGTCGTCTGGCGAAAAGCATTTCCTGTCGCTTAGGATGTGTGGCTAGGGAGTGAACTACACCGCCATTATCACCTAAAGTAGATAAGCATCGAAAGCATTGAGTTAAAGTAAAGTTAATATATGGAAGGCAATCTTACTTATTCGGATGCGCTGGAGAATTTTTGTTTCGAGGAGATCGTATATGAAGGCATCACCATCAGTAGAACCAGTCACTATATGAGCATCGTTAGCCAGTATTCCGCACTCTATGTGGTAGTCATCACTGCGATGTCCCTTGTATTCGGAGAGAAGTCCTCCCGTCTCGCAGTCCATGAGTCGCACCACGCCGTCTTGACAGCCAGCAACAAGACATTGCTCATCTCGCGTCTGTGCCAGGTAGGTGATGGGTTCACCAACCTTATCGCAGGTGAGTTCACCGACTCGAATATCGTAAGTTCGCACACATCCGTCCAAAGAGGCTGCGTAGATCCGATTCTCGTTAGTTGCTACCGTGGTAATGCAGTCGCATGCCTCTTTCATGACCTGAATGGGATCCAGGCGACGCGTTCGAATGTCCCAACACATTACGGCATTGTCCCTGCCTCCCGAAATGGCCACCGTAGAGTCTTCGTTGAAACACACGCACCGAACTCCACCGGCGTGGCTGCGCAGGCGTCGAACTGGAGCTCCTAAAATGAATCTTGATTATAACAATTTTAGTTTTAAATGCTTTCCTTTATCTGATTTAAGCTCACCAGTAGACACATCCCAGTATATAATACTCTTGTCCAAGCTGGCTGATACAATGTAGCTACTATCACAGCTACCCTGCTTAACACAAAGAAAAATTAAAATTTAATAAAAATATTTATATAAATAAATACCGCTGCATCAGTCACTTCGTCTGCATGACCTCCGTAGGTCTTGAGGAGAAGCCCTGAACCCGGATTCCAAAGTTTTATCTTCTTGTCAGATCCGCAGCTCAGGCAATATGTTCCATCAACTTTAATAAAAAAAAATTAAGAATTGCTTTGTAACTTGTTATATAAAGTCCCACCATTATACCGCACAGCGCGAACTGCACCTTGCTTGCAGTCAATTGTGGTTTTTAAATTAAAATTATTGAACTCCGGCATGTTTGAAAAAAAAGATTACAATTTCTTGAAAAAAATATAAACAAACTGATGGTGTGACCAGTTTCATAAATTTATTCACCAATTGTTTTTATTCAACAGGGTGTTTTGTGCATTTTACAAGCAAATATCAGCTGTTAAATCCCTTTCTACCTTATAATACCATTATAGGGAGAATAAGATCACTATAGTTAAGAGAAAATGTCATGTATAAATAGATAGCTGGGAACACAAAATTCAGATAATTTTGACATAAACAATTGAACCGACCATGCAAAAACCCAAAGAAAATAACAAACATTTTAAATTCAACCATTGGAATCGTTAGTTTATATGGCGCTGTGGTGAGATTGGCGAGTGAAGAGATCCTTCCATCCCTGGGATGGGGAATTGATAAAGGCGCCAATAAAGTTGACCGGAAAAAGCGAGCCAAAAACGCCTATAATTTTGGCTATAAAAAGCACTGTGAAAACGACCATTAGACGTGCCAATAAAAGGATATATCTTCAAATATATAAAATAAGCGGTATTTATACAATACAAAAAAAAAAATGCAGCTGATTTTGCCGTCTTACAGCTGACGCAAGACTTTGTTGTTTCTTGCAGATGGCCACTAAAAGGCTGATGCTCGATGTAGAGCAGGAGGAGGAAGGAGGGGCATGTGGCCTTGAAAATGGGAATTTAGATTCAAATGGAGTTGAAGTGGAAAACCATGCCAAAAGGCGCAAGCCAGCAATGCAGGAGACGCCCTTGCAAAGGATGCTTAAACGGCACATTCCCGACGGCGTCATTCTTTCGCCCATCACCGAATTGTCTCAGAATATGCAGGGAACCCGCCTGGATGGAACACCAAAGTCAACCCAGAGAAGTCAATCTTCAAGAACCCTGAACACTTTCAATAGCTTGTCCTCGCGAACCCTCAGTGGCTTCAGCAGCTCCTGCTCTAGTTACGATTCGGGTAATTCTCTGGATGATGAATACATGTCCATGTTTGAGCTGGAATCGGTTGAAGACCACAATTTAGAATTACCTGATGACCTAGAAGTCCTTCTAAGCGGTCAGTTGAAATCGGAAGATAATCCCGAAAGCGAATCCTTCAACAAAACACGCTCATTGCGTCGCTGCTTAAGCTTGTTTCCCAGTGATCAACCGGAGGATGACGATCATTCAGACCGAGACACCAACATGCCTATTAAAAAGCTCCAAAGAAAAACTCTCTCCATGAACGATGCTGAAATCATGAGCGCCCTGGGCGATGAACCCCAGTTAATAGGAGATCTCAGCAAGCCCTGTGCACTGCCCTGCTTGGTCACTGGTATAAGACATCGTGATTTGAAGACCATATCCTGTGAAACATTGGCCAGACTGATTCAAGGCGAGTATGACCAGCAACTCGGCAGCCAAGGTGGTTACGAAATCATAGACTGTCGTTATCCTTACGAATTCTTGGGCGGCCATATACAAGGAGCTAAAAATTTATATACTCGTGGGCAGATACAGGAGGCATTTCCAAATCTGACGTCTAACCAAGAAGAACGTCGCATCTATGTGTTTCACTGCGAGTTCTCTTCTGAACGGGGTCCCAAGCTATTGCGCTTCCTGCGCAGCAACGATAGGAATCAGCATGCCAACAACTATCCGGCATTGGACTATCCGGAGCTGTATATCCTACACAATGGGTACAAGGAGTTCTACGGACATTATGCCCATTTGTGTGAGCCCAAACAATATGTGCCCATGCTGGCACCGGCGCACAATGATGAGTTTCGATACTTTCGGGCCAAGACTAAGTCATGGCAATGTGGCGAAGGTGGAGACAGTGGAATTGGGGGTGGAGGCTCAAGAGGCCTTCGTAAATCGCGATCCCGCTTGCTGTACGCCGAGTGAGGCCTAAAAGCTCCAGATATTATCCACAAACGAATCCTTTACCCACAGAACAAAATTGATTTAAGGACGCAAATTTTTTAGTTTATTTTTCGTTGCGTTGTTCAAATGTTGTAAAAGCCCTTTTGATTTATTTATATTTTATTCATTTGTAATGTTTAATTCCAATTCCTGATTCTGAATTTAAGTTAAGCGTTATGTGAAAGCAAAACTCAAAGCCAAAACGGTGGGAACAGAATATGGATAAATGTTCTCTAGTCAGTGATAGGTTACACTTCGAAATTTATTATAGTTTACTTTATGTGTTTGGCATTTAACAGTTAAGTTTAAAAAGTTATTCGTGTTTAATTACTGTTTTAATAAACCAAATCGATTTAAATATGTAAAGAATTGAAAAGAAGCCAATTATTTTTGATATTTCAGACAAATTTATATTAACGTTTAAAAAACATTTATCTCGTAATCTTTATTGTAGAAGCCAAAGCAAGAAATGTCAGGCATATTTCAGACTGTTTTAAGAAAACTCGGGGAATATGAAAATGCTCTTTAATTAGAAAAGTATTTCATTGTTATAAGTAAAAAGGAAACGAATTAACAAGGTCAGAAACTGGGCTGGATTGAATGATCTCCAATATGAAGTAACAAAAACAATACAAAGAATTACTTATTTTTTAGTGATATATACCGGCGAAATAGGAAAATGATTACGAGAACCTAATATAGTTTAATTTTTGTATAACTTTATTTTGGGTTTTAAGTTCTTTAAGAATGCTATTTAAACAATACAATAAAAAACAGAAATATAGATCTAATTAATTATTAGCTGGGTTCAAAATATTTTACTTAATCTTTTCATGTTTCAAATAAAGAAAACAAAATAACTTGTAATACGTAATTATTTTTTGAAATATAAATCCAACAGCTTAGAATTTTAATCATTTATTGTTACAATCAATAAAATGTTGAACTACATCCTAAATGTAAATGCTTTACATTTTGAGATTTGAGTAATTTTGAAGAACATATCTAGTTTCGAAAATAAAAATTTATTTTCACTTTTAACTTTAAAATTTTATCGAATTAAGAACTATATAAATAATTTTAGGTTTTACCAAATTAAATTTTTTGAGTTTGCTCTATTTCTAAGATAAAACATTTCATAAAAAGTCATAAAAGACAGTTCGAAAAAAAACTTAATCATCAGTAGAGTCTTCAAAGGGAGCCTTGCAGCCAGCTTTCTCGTAGAAATCCAATGGAAGGGGATCCTCATAGTCGAAATAATCAGAGTCACGAGAACAACAGGGACCTAGTTCTAGTTTCACCATCTTTTCGCGCCAAAAGTTGATAAGTTCTTTATTTATAACTTCGTCCCTAAGCTTTACAATCCATTCGTTGTAGTCCGCCGGTCCATAAAAACCAGCATCGCCCTTGTACTCCTGCAAAAGCTCGGCGGCCTTGTCCTGATTCTCTGATGACGGTGTCCCATCGAAGAGCAGCTTCCAAATAATGTCTCTGGCAGCCGCGGCTACCTTCTTTACACTAGCCTGGTGAATATTGTCCGGAACAATAATTTTAGTTAGTACAAAGCGTTTCATCAGCGAACGGTATTCCTCAAGGGGCCTTTCCTTGGTCAATAAAGCTTCAAATTCACCAGAGAGGGCGGCGGCATCGTCGGCACTGAGTTCTCCAGGTGTGGTGGGAACAGCATTACCTTCCTGATCCTGTGAAGCCTGGTCCTCTAGTACAGCGCGCACCTTTAAGCTGGCTGCAAATGGTGCCGTGCAACCTGCATGGGCGTAGAATTCCAGAGGCGGAGTATCGTCGCTATCATACAGATCAGAGTCACGTGACCAACAAGGGCCAAGTTGCTTCTTTAGCAGAACTTCGCGCCAAAAGTCCAGGAGCTCCTTCTTAAGGACCTCATCCCTTAGCTTAACAATCCATTCGTTATAGGGCGTTGGACTATAGAAGCAAGCATCACCACGGTATTCCTCCAGTAATTGGGTGGCCTTCTCTATATTAGATTGCGAGGTATTACCTTCGCCGAATAATAGCTGCCAAATGACGTCTCGCGCTGATGCAGCCGTCCGGTTAAAATTCTCCTTGGTGACATCATCATCAACAATTTCGTCTACCTGTACGCGCGTTTCGATGAGTTTTTGGTAATCCTTTATTGGATCCTCTAGGCCAATAGTGTAATCATTCTATATCGTCAATAGTTATTAGTCTACTTAGTTTGGTTTATTGTTTGTTTTGTTTTCATTACCTGTGGAACTTTCTCCGCTGTTGCCATTTTGTCGGATTGTTCGTCCTCGGCCTTTCGCTTTGACATTCCCTGAAGGATTTTTCGGTGAATAATATTTCTTCTAAGAGATTTATAGAACAAATGCAAAATGATCGTCACTGTTGTCGACAATAAATGAGATGACTAATTCTTTAGATCACCGCTAAGCTTATGTACTTTTTATAAAATATTACGTTAATACTATGTAGTTAGTATATTAAGTGGGGTATTCTCAATAGTGTGAATGTGCTAAACTATTAGCTGGAAAGTAATTTGCACTTCCTAATTGCGAATAAGAAAACAATAAATAAAGCTCAGCTTTTGAATTTTGAGGAAAAAAAATCAAATATAGTTATGGAACTGCCGTAGGAAAGTTTTGGTGTATTTCCTTCCAGACTGTATTTAGTAATGCGATATATCGTTAGCCGATTGTAATTAGTATTTGCAAAAGAAAGCGTTTACAGATTCCTCCGGTAATTACACATGGTCACACTGTTAGATTTTTTTTCGTGACAATTGTAGCAGGTCGCAAAATCTACTTTGATAGCAACTAAATTTCATCTGAAAGACGGAGGATAAATTGTGCAATTCCTTGCTGGAAACTACACATACAGTTTTCGCCCCAATAAAGTGAAATTTATTGATTATAACCCATTGGTTCCGCCCTGACTGTGTGCGTCCGTGTGTGTGGGACAGAGACAAAGAAATTTGAGGTTAGGCTGGAGAAAATTTCTCGTTAATGTCGCCAAAAAATAAACGATTACAAATCGAACTTAAAATAAAACACTTTTAAAACAGTCAAACTAAAAACTTACTCAATATCTAATGTTAAAAGAGCAGTAGTTGTGGTCATCAAAATACAGAGACACAAGCCAATTGCATTCGTGGAATTTGTCTCTGTGTGAGTCTCGCGGTACGTTTAAGTGTGCGTGTGGACGTGAATTCAATTTTCTCGTGCACGAAAAGCAACGAAAAAGCTTCAAAAGTTATACTCAAATGTGTATGGCAATTGTGGTAAGTGTGGGCGGGGACGTTAGGACCACAAGTATTTAAAAAAATACATTTTCGTTGTTAAAAATTGTGCCAAACTACAATGAGCACTAACACACTCAAAGACACAAATCGGTTTGTAGTAGAGTATGCGTTGTCATTTACATACATTCTTATTTTTTAATTAATTTTTTTTTATTACCAACATTTATAACTGCCTTAATACTCTCTGAATTCAGGAATATCAATGGAATAATATGTATTTGCCATTATGTACATAAATAGACATAATAAATAATAGTAGTATTTCTTAAACTAAATTATTAGTATTTTAAAGAAATTTTTTAATTCCAAGACCTTTGCATCATTAAATAAAGGAAAATTAATATTGTCAAAACACAATAAAATCAAAAATGATGTATTATTTTCCAAAAATATTTGACTTTCGGAAATCAAACCAGTTATCCCACTGTCGAGAATTTAACATTTTGAAAGGTAAATCCAGATTAACAACAATATAAACTTTAGAACATGAATGACAATCTTACACTCCATTAAATAGGTAAATGTTCGCATTTTACTTTCATTTGACCCAGTTACCTGGTTAACTGCAAACGCCAGTTGAAAGTAAATGTCAGCTGACCCAGTTTTATCATCCGAATGGAACTAGGACAAGCCAGGAACTGCTTGGAAATGCCCCAAAAATACTGCTCTTCTTATTTATTACTTTTTTATTTTCTCCGTTTCGATGCTGTTCCATACGTCATTCGCAATGTACATTCACCGAAAGATATCTAATATCTAATCTTTGAAGACATTTTAAGCAGATTTATAATATCAAAGCAAGAGCAAACAATAAACAAAAGACCTGGCCGAGAGATTCGTCTTTTGAGCGAAATAGCCAACTCAGTTGCAATTTTAAACTGACAAAATCTGGACGTAGAACAATTATAATGAAAAGACTTTTATCGCGCAAAGGCTTTAAATTTTTATAATCAGTTATTCAACAAGGTTTGGCTTTGATTTGTGGCTATCTCCAATTATCTCATTTTTTTTTCTGACTGTGTTTATCTTGATCGGAATGTTTGCTAATCGATATCAGTAAACTGCGTCAATTGGAAGTGAAAGAGCGCAATGAAACATCCGGCATCAAACATAACCCCTAACGAGATTCATTAATTTACCAATTGGGTAACTTATTTATTTACCAATATTCCATCAAGATCCATATTTTAAAAAAATTACCTGGTCATATTTCGTTTTCTTTCTCTTTTGTTTCCGTTTCAATCTCTCTTGTCCTTGAACAAGTTCAACGATATTGCCCCGACAATACAAACAAAAAATGCTCATTCAGTTCGAGCGCTGATTTTCTCTGCTTATTTATTCGTGATAAAAAAACAAGAGCGAACAGATAGGCGTTTTAAATAGGGAGAACAATCCGGTTTGGTTTTATCAAAAAAATTTCCCGGCGAATTAACGCACTGTCGTCATTGGCTAACATCACATTTGTAAATCCTAAATATATTATTAAGTGAAGTGCGACAGTAACAACAAATACCATGTCATAAAATTATGCAAGGGTCGTTAAAAGTTTTTATTTGAAAATGTTTTTTAAGTTTAATTATTTATCATTACGAACTTTTGTCAATTATCAAAAGTGAATTGCACGTTTCCTAGGTAGACTTGAAACTTATTTTACATATAAACTTCGTTTTTCTTATCAGAAATATACCTAATATATATATATATATATATATATATATATATATTCTACCTATCGGTATGAAGATTACGATTACGTATTTGTGTACGGTTGCTTTTTTATTTTTTAATTCCAGTCGTTTTCTTTATTTTTTCTGAGTTTATCTGCTTTCCACCCGTTTGCACTTATACAAACGAATGCCAATTGAATTCTTGGTAATATATGAAAGAATTTACGATCATTTTAAGTGTTTCCAACAATTTTCTGGAGGTCATTTTAATTTATTTAAATTAATTGGTGATCGGCACGTCTTGAAGAAAGCTCCTTGGCTACCCCAATTTGGAAAGCTATATATTCTCACATTATTTGGAAGCACTCGCTAATTAGAACTTGTGAAATAAAATGAGAGTTGGGGACTTTCGACTACTTTTCCTGGTTATATATCATTGCGCTGTATTTTTACTGCTGTCACGTTTTGGCAGCTTGTGTGCAGAATTTCACCAATACATGTCATATCCAAAAATAGACCAAAAAGCAAACAACAAAGCATGCAATACGATTTACAAACGTCAGTGGGCGGTGAAGGGTGGTAGATAGGAGAAATGCCACCGCCCAACACCCACCACCACCAGATTCTATATATAGTGCGATAAATGTGGCGCGGTTTGTCCTCAATAGTTTTGCCCTGCCCTTGGTTAAGACAAAATACCCAAAAACTAACAAGTAAAACGACATTTTGCTAGTGCACTCTAAGATACTCCTTGTCGCCAAAAAAACCTTGAATGACATGCAATTTGCGGCAGAGACATGCATTTGATAATTGCAATAAACAAGTCATGATTGTTTATTTTTGTTTCGTCTTTTTTTCGTTTTATCATTTACCAAACAACAACAGCTGTTCCTCGATTAAAATACGATGACGCATAAGAAGTCTCCTGGTGCGTCACAAAAAACTGCGGCCACTTGGCAACTGAAAGACGGTTAGATTTTAGTAGCCTGAAGCCCTGTAGCTTCCATTTCCTGTTCATCTCCTGGTCGATGCGCACTGTAAAGCTTTAGGGCATTTTCAAAATTTCCATTATGGCGAAAAAACAAATTGCAGGATTGGGGGTAGGTGGATCGGATGGAAATCCTGCTCTTCCATCGCAAAATCAATAATTTCTTGGACTCAGTCTGATTTTGAGTCGCTTGTGGTGCACGAAGCGAAGCATTGTCGCTCGGATTTTTTTGCGGTCTATTTGTTTTTGTTGGCTTCCTAGCACTTATAATAAGCGGAGAATGTGTGTGCCTTGTGGGTGGATTGTTTGATTAACTAAGGTGAACAAAACTTAGCCGTGCCTAATGGATGGGTTCTTAGAAAGCTCGTAGAGATTAAGAAACTTTGTGAACAACTTGTGGTCGTTAATATTGTGGCTGAACTCTTTAAATTGGAATTTTCTAAAAACGTTTAGAAGCATAACGATTATTAAATATAAAAAAGAAATGCTTTAAAATTATGTTTCTTTTTAGTTTTTTGAAATGGCAGACATCGACAAGAACTAGAATGTTTTAAAATGCAGTAATTGAAAGGGTGTGTTTTTGTTGATAAATGTAATGTATAATCTCTATAAATTATATTAAAAAAATATTTGCATTTTGCGGTCTATAAACATCTTTATTACTACATCGAGAATGTCTTGTCGTTTATGTTCTTCAAAAATTATTATTCATAAAGTATTCGTTCTTGTTTGTTTATGCTCTTTAAAAATCATTGTTTAGTCTACTGATTTCTTCTTGAGTTTAATGGCTAATATTTAGAAAAAAGTGTATAAAAAAGTGCTCAATCAACTTAACGTTGTCTGCGTTTTGTCTGGCTTTGCTGTCTGGTTCAGCATGTCCCTGGTTTTATTGACACCTGTAGACAGACATTAGTTTAGTAAGTTGAGACTTGAATGACAGTTACCCTCATCACATTTCCCGTTAGTTATTTTTAATTTTCCATTACAACACGATTATTCGCCCGCTTTACCAAGTTTGAATTTGAAGTCTAAACAAAACCTGAAAGCTAGCAAACGAAAACACGGGAACTATATCGAAGTACTTTGAACTCCAAAGCCAAACCCAGACACACCGTCATTCAATTGTTTTTTTTGTGTTTTCTTGATACCATTTTGTTTTCTTACCTCTAGATTTCTTCGGTTCCTACTTGAGTTCTTTGTTTCTTCATTGTCTGTCTCGGTGTCTATGTTGTCTAGTCGGTCCTGTCCCGGGAAAGTCCAATCAACTTAACGCTCAGACAAAACACATCTGCTACCTCAAAAGGAAAAAAAATTTACATCTTTTGAGATGTTGTAGGAGTCATAATTAAGAGTCAAAATTTAAGTTTTCGTTATGAAAATTTAATTTAAGTATAATTGAAAACATTTAATTTAAAACTATTCATATAAATTATTGTGTGTTCATATAAAAAATTGTGCATTTAAATTTTATACGCTATACACTTTAATCTTATGCATAGAAAGAAGATGTATAGAATTGAATGACCTTGGAAAAAAAAAAAAATAATATATCGATGGGCAGTGAAGTGTAACAAATTCATTGTATACGTATTATACGTTTTAAGTAACAATTAGGTATTAGTGTCGTCATGCCATTTGCCTAGATCTTGATTAAGTTCAACGGGTTTAAATGTAAGACTAATTTCATATTAAGTTACGTTTGTGTGCGCTTTAACCTTCATTGACTGTGCATATAATAAACCGCATTTAGCTTTGTTTATTACCCTTAAATAACAACTGACCTTGGTATCGCACAAAGTTGTATCTACTGGCAAAACTTTCTTCAATTCAATTCTTTCTCTTATAAACTTGTTAATTTGCCTATCAGAGTGAATTATATATTTATATAATACTGTGGCTAAATTCTGAGTTGAATTCGAATTTAATTTTTATTCTAATATCTCTTATTTAAAGACTAGCACTACGTTGATGTGCAATATTCCCATGCCATTTCATATCTTAAATGCACTTAAAAATAACGAAAACGAATTATTCACGCGTTGTCACACACATAATATGTTTTTTTTTTGCTTAGAATATATTTAATATAGCTAATAGTTTCATTTATTTAAGTGAAGCTTCATAACGGATTTTTTAGTTGGAATATTTCACGTTACCACTTTATTCGAATTTTTCCGGTCCTTTAGTGTATTTTAATTTTACGGCTTAATTATAAAGTAACAATAAAATTGGGTTCTATTATTTCTTCCTTTATTGTATTTTCACATCAGACCCATTAAAGAACCTTAAATATGCAGCAGACTGTAAAAGTTTTTGAGGGGAGTAGTGGGGGTGTTGCTGTAGAGAGCACATCTCTCCGCGTGAGCAATTGGAGAGATGTGCGTCACGGGGAGAGCTACACGACTCTTACCGCTCTCTCCGGTAATGGAGACTTACTGCCGGAGAGAGCGCCGCACAAATGTACAAATGGGCGGTGTTGAGTTGACAATCGCCAGTCGATAGCAAAACATGAGAGAGTGCTCATCGCGCAGCAATACGCGTCTACTTAGTGTGGTAATCGTAATCGATCAACGTATCAGAATAGACACTTGTCGATATTTAATCGAGATTCTATCTCGCCGCATCACAGGCGATTAACGATAGGTAATTTATGCTTATCGTTTTGCATGATGAGACCGACCTACCGTCTTCAGTAGTATCTAAAAACTGGAAGAAGAGAGTTCTCTTCAATTTGCTGATAAAACCGATTAGTGTCTTGGCACAGACACCTTTCGATATCTAATCGGGATTTCATATTGCCGCATTACAAGCCCTATCGTAATCAGCAAATAATCAGTGCTTTTGTATTAGCTCGTTGAAATATATAGCAATATATATTTATATTTATATATTCGCCTTTGTGACTTTTTTATTTCGCCAAGACGCAAAACACAAAAAAATACATTGCATAAGTCACAAGTAAAAACCGACTGGGAAATAGCATCAACAAAAAGTTTTGTTGTCTAACGTTGTCATGAGGTAAACACTAACACAGACAGGCAGATCTGGTATGTACTAGTATGTACTACTGTATACGAGGTGCATATAAACAAGTGAAAGTTTTTGGTTCTATCAACAAAAAGTTCCTTCCTCTTTTTTTGCACCCACTTCTTAATTAGTTCCACGCGTTTTTATATCACTCGTCTTTATAATGGATCACACGTACATATATGCAATAATCCAAAGCATTTCCCGGCAACAATTGTTTGCGAAATTTCAATAGAAATTGCTCGCCTACTCTAGGCCAAAAATGCGAAAATAAACACAGGTCGCGTTGTGCCATAAAAAATGGAATATTTGCTTTAAGAGTTATCGCATTTGTGTAGATATCCACGTATATATGTGAAATACATATTATACAATCATTGTATTTTGCTTCTGTCTTTATTTGTGAACTCATTTTATACATATGTTTTTCACGATCAACAACAGAATATATATAATGTAAATGTTCTTGGAAATGGGCAAGCATTATCTTGGATCGCTTTTAGGGAATATTTTTAATGCTTTCGCTCAAGCAGCGGACGACAGACACACTTCAAATGTGCCTATAGGTTTTAAAAATATCCACTTGAAAGATTTCCCGGATTTATTAATTAAAGTTTTTTTTAAATATAAATTTAACTGACATAAAGCAACGTGTATAACTTTATAAAGCAACAATGAGAATTTATTTTCACAATAAGCTTTTTTATGAATGTTTTTTGCCAGTGGATTTTTATGTTGACTGCCATATTTAAATATTTAGTTCAATTTAATTTTAGTTCAAACCAACTTAAAATATTCAATACGTTGTTTTTTCTATTTACAGTTGGTTAGACCTGTTCCCACATCTATGGAGTTTCATCTAGACAGTGCAGAATACTGCCAGGCACAGCACAAATAAAAAGTGAGTATGAGTAGTTTTTGAAGAGGATTTGGACTTTTTGCTTAATTAATTGGCTCAAGTTGTGGCGCTGGGAGAAAGAGTGGGTGGCAATGGAAAGGTCACTTTACTTACTGTGTATTAAGCGAGGTGACCTTTTTGTACAATTGACTACTTGACCCGCTCTCAAGAACGTCATGGATAAGAAAAAAGTGTGAGACGAAAATGGCGAAAGTCTCAATTATTTTATTGCGTGTAATTGAGCTAAATTGCTTTTTAGTTTCCCACGAATTGTTTTCAATTGAATGAACAAAGGGAAACCCAATAAAGAAGCTTGATCCGACTAGTACCAGATTTGTCTGGAACTCAACTGACTCATGTCTCATTCCTTGCAGGTAAACAATCCTCGAACAAGGCGGCGATAGACTGAGTGAACACGGTCACCTCTTTGGAAGTCGACGTCGATAAGTGGTGTGGATTATATCAGTTTAATACCCGAAACGGATCAGCTGATATATCGACAGCAGCGGCTCCAATTAGCCAAAGTTTGTCAATCTATGGGAGAGAAAAAAAACATAAATTTTTAGCATCGCGGTGATCGCAGATCATATCACAGCAAGGAAATATTTTAATGTATCACAACGAAATTGAGAAAAAGTTGTAATATTTTCAAAAAAAAAAAAACAAAGTGAATCCAAATCATTTTTGTATCTTAAAATACGCGTGACACTTAACAGGGAATCATTTTTTCGGTCACAGAAAATTGGTTGACTTTCTTTGTGATAGAAGAAAAAACCAAAATTGTACTTAATTAAAAAAGAAAAAGAATTAATTTTTACTTAAATGATAATCTAGGTTTGTGTTTTGGTGTAAAACAATTAAGTGTACGATACGAAAACAGAGTTAATTATATTTATTTTTTATACATAACTCAAATCTTAACAAAATTCAATTTTAAGCCTCTAACACGCTGAATTTTTAATCTAGAAATCAAACTACTTCCGTTAAACAAAACCAATCAAATCTTTGTGAAAACCAAACAAAAACTACACTTCAAGATTGTAAGAAAGTAACAGACTTAACATTAGTGCACACGAGTTAGATTAACTCCTTCAGAACTGCTTTTGTAATTGTTTATGAGCATCACCATGCGTCAAAAAGATCTGCGCCCAGCCCCGGCTCTAATTGAGTACAAGGGCATGAAGTTCCTAATCACCGATCGACCATCAGACATAACAATTAATCATTACATTATGGTGAGCCCCTCCTTAATTATTCTTATCCGGATCCCCCTAATTTCTATGTCTTTCTCGTAGGAGCTAAAAAAGAACAATGTCAACACTGTGGTCCGTGTGTGCGAGCCAAGCTATAATACCGACGAGCTCGAGACACAAGGCATTACTGTCAAGGACCTGGCCTTTGAGGACGGCACGTTTCCTCCTCAGAATGTCGTTGACGAGTGGTTTGAGGTCTTAAAGGATAAGTAAGTAGAATAATAGCGCTCTTTCTTTTTTAGATTATTATTTACTTCTTTCTATCGTTAAAAATAAATCACATTTGTTACATTGTGCGTAAGTCATTTGCTTAGATTCCACGATCAAACTGGAGCTCTCACAAACATTTCAAGTAGAATCGGACATTATTTAAATAAGTTATATTTTAATTAAGAATAATTTCCAAAATGTAACATAACAACACATTAAATAACTTTGTATAGATATTTCACTAAAGCTCCAGTCAAATTATATTCATTACTAACCTTAGTTAAGACATATGTAATTATATTGCATTATTTATTTTACATATAATTTTGAAGATATTCATTAACCATATTTTAAGTATACGCGAATATACAAAAAATAGCCTCAAGTGATTTTTATCAATTTATTCAGTATTATTTATTGCTTTGTGCCACTCAATTAAAACAAATGAAAATGTTACTAAATTCAAACCAAAATAAAAGCCAACGAAAACCTATAAACTGCGACGCTAGCCAAATATCCAATGAGCTGTAAAACAAATATTCACACACATTAAAAAGGAAGAACATTTAGAAGATGTATAGAAACCCGCTTGTAGTCCCCGCTATTGCCATAGGTGCTAACTTTGTATGATTTTAATATGCTCATCAGTTATAAGTTGCTGTACAGAATTTAGCTCAATCGAACTATTGCACATACCTTCTCTCATTCTTATCTCAACGTTTTCGTTTTGTAAAACTTTCAAATTCCACCCATCATAGACTACTTTGTATTACCTTGTAAGCTATCAAACTTGATCAATGAGAACTTACCTTACCTTCCTATATGATTCGTTTCGTGTGCTATTTTGATACCGCTGCTGCTGTGCCCTAGTTTTAGAAAGTCCACAAGCGCCACACTAACCTACTACAAACATAAGCGATTTTCGCTCAGACACATACAAAAAACAGTTCCACCAACAACAGCAACTGCAACTGCAATAAGAACTTCAGCAACCAGAGCCAGTCTATCCGCAGCATCAGGTCGGGCCACAGATACATTGCCCCTAACAGCCAATGATAATTTCACTGATACTGGCGAGGCAGCATCAGCAATTTATAATAATACTGCATTTGTTGATAATGAAACTTGTCGGTAAGCGTAGATCTAGATTTATAGACCTAAAAGTAATTTTAGTTTACTCTAATTAAAATAAGATAAGTTTTTAGTTAACAATAAAATTTTTAACATCTTTTTGTACATTCCAGATATCAACAAAATCCGGAGGCTTGCGTTGCCGTTCATTGTGTTGCTGGTTTGGGAAGAGCTCCGGTTCTAGTTGCCTTGGCACTGATTGAATTGGGCTTAAAATACGAGGCAGCTGTGGAAATGATTAGAGAGTGAGTACTTGTTGAACTAAACGGAATTGGGAGTATTTATTAAAGTTTGTTTTTTTTTTCTAGTAAACGACGTGGCGCCATCAATGCCAAGCAGCTATCCTTTTTGGAAAAATATAAGCCAAAGGCGCGACTAAAGCACAAAAATGGCCATAAGAATTCATGTTCTGTGCAATAGATTTCCAAAACCATATGTATATTCCCACCAGATAAAAAGTGTTCATTTTTTCAAAAACAAAAAAAAAGCAAGTGGATAGAAAAGAACGTAAAGAAATATGATTTGATAGGCAACAAAACGAGAATTGCAAATTATCACGTACCACAGAGAATCCAAAAAACCAATCACAGCCCCAGTAATTCTTAAACTTAAAAACTCAAATTTAAATGTATTGGTATTAATTTTGTAATTTGTATGTATTAATTAATGTAAATTATTGTTATTTTACGATTCGATTCAGCCACCCCAAACCAAACTAAAAAGAGTTTAATTTTTGTACCTACAGCATATATAGACCGACTTATACGCATACATTTAATTTTGAGCAGCCGAATACCCCATTAAATGGTTGTAAAAGGCTCGTCAAAATAGTTAAAAGCTGTTGTTCTACATTAAAATGTTCTGGAATTAACAAACAACAAATTAAGCGTACAACAGAAAACCATCAAGCAAAGAATATTATTAAAACTAATAACTAGATGAAAAAAGTGTATGGTGTAAAAATCTACTACTTAACAGTCATATTCTAAAAACGGAAAAATGTACTTAATCGCATATTAGTTTGGAGCTGCTTAGCCTCCTAAAGATCTGCTTTAATTATATTTTACTGTTTACAATTTTTTTATACTGTCAACACATTTTAGCTATCAACAAAGCAAGACTTTTTTATATGCTAAATACATTGCTTATTTGACCACTACAATACCAATACCAATCAGCCTCGCACATGCATGAATACTTTGGCATGTATGTGCGACTTAATGATATATATCTATATATATAATTTAATATATATTTATATGTATTATACAACTGCAACGTTTTACATTAATGACTACATACATTCAAAGTCAACAAGCAAGCAAGTAGTAATCAAGAAAATAAGAAATATTTCAAACCAGCAGGAACAACAAAAAAAAAATACAAAAATTGAGAAAATGAACATGAAAAAAATTTAACCTTATTGTAAACAACAAATTATAGTGACAAGGAGACGATGAAGAAGCACGAAGAAAAAAACACAAGCCGAAAATAAAAACAAATATAATGCTTACAAAATAATTTATCCAAAATATTGAATTGTAATTTTTTAAAATGTTAGTCATTACAAGGAAATAAAAATGATCTATATTAAAATTAATGATTTATTTTTTTTATTGATTTCGCATTGTTTTTGAATTTTGTGAACAAAATGGGAATTTACATCACATTAACAATTTGTAATATACTCGCATTAGAAAACGTTGGGCAAGATACCAATAAAAAAAATGTCGGAAACTAAGTTTTTGAATGGTGAAATTGATTGGTTGGTTGCTGCTATTGATTCCGAAGATATTTCATCTGAATAATGTGCCTCCAAAAACGCATCTCTCGAAATAAAAAATTCTTTGGATATATCTTTCTTAACTCAAATATAAAAACTTACTTATGTGGCTGATTAAATAATGTAGATACTAGAATAATTTTTAGGGGATTAGTTTTATAACTTCTAAAGTTATTTTCTGATATTTGATTTAAAAGTAGATGATTTAAATGGTCAGTATATAATTATTATTGTAATTCTTTATCTTTAGATTTGGGATTTTTTAGAATTTTTCGTTAGTAATGGTGGTTGATCTGGAACTTGAATGCTCGCATTCTTGGTCTCTGAATAAAAACAAAGCATTGTTTAAACTTATCCACATTTCATCTCCTCGCTGCAGCTATAGGTTTTAAAGTATGCTTACCCGGTTTCTTCCTTCGATTCGTTGTGATTACTTTTTATTAGTCTACTTTCGTGTTTAGAAATATTTTTAGTCCGGTGATCTACATTTTTACCACCACTCAGAAGAAGTTCAACTATTTTGTCCATTCTATAAAAAACGCAAATTTTAATATATTTATTTAAAAGATTTATTTGTAAATCTGTACCTTTTTTCTTGATCTTTTTTAAAGGCATAGAAATCATGATAAAGAGACATTTTTAGTTGCTGGATTGCGTCAATAATAGGTTGAAGATTTAAATCAATATTTGGATAAGCAAGTACTTTTGAGGTTGAAGTTGGTGACGAAATAGTTGTGGTATGTGTTGTTAAGGAAGTAGTAGTGCTTTTTGTAGTTGATTGAATGGTGGGCTTATGTGTTGTAGAAGGGGTTGTGGTAGTTTGGGTTGCTGGGTGGGTAATAGTACTTTGTGTTGTAGAAGTCGTGGTGGTGGGTTCTTTTGTCGGAGTAGTGGTTATTTGTGTTGTCGAAGGAGTAGTACTTTGCGAATGATACTCCAATAATGTGTTATACAACCTTTCAAAATCATCGAATAGTTTCAACAACTTTTCATTGGTCATATCTCCGTTATTATCACCATTTTGATCGTCTGTGGTGGATAACAGTGACTCCAATTCAGCGGAATCTGTTTTTGTTGGATCCAGGTCACCCGATATGATTTGCTGCAACACGCTTCCTACTTTTGATATCAGCTGAGGTGAAAGTTTTCCAGTTGCCTTGTCGACTTTACTTTTCTTTATCTTGCGTAATTTACTCAATAGTTCTAGGATTTTTTCAAGTTTATCTCTTGGTGATTCCGACGAACTTAAAGTTGGGGAGCGCTCTGTTGTGAATTGAGGTTTTAGAAGATGTGGAGTAGTTTTCTGAGTTGTTGAGTAAGATGTTGTAGTTTTATGTTGATGGAATTTAGTCCTCTCGGTAGTAGTCTGTTCGGAGCTTGTAGTATTTTCCTCATCATTCAAATGATCGACCCATTCTTTAAGCCCTGTTATTAAGTTCTTCATTGCCGCAATATAGCTGGAACTTTTGTGCACATTTTGATTTTTCGGTACATCCTTATGTTCCTTAATTTTCTTAACAGCTTCTGGAAAAGCTTCAATTAGAGGATTTTGTGAGTCTATCCATTTTTTCATTACGTCTTTAACGTGTTTATTGCTGTCGCTATCCTTCTTTTCCTTTGTTTGTTCACTTTCTTTCCTGGTCTTTCTAATCGATTCTGCTAATTGGTTAGCCATATCCTCTAATTGAATAAAATTCTTTTGGGACACAAGATTTTCTGAACTTTGTTTATTTTTATAGTCCTTAAGGATTTCCAAGAAAGATCTCCCGAAAGAGTCTAACAGCATGTGTTGGTTGTTCGTCCACAGCTGCAACATTTTGAATGCTTCCCCGAGGCCGTTTTCGGGATAATGTTGTTGTGTTCTTTTGTTAATATGTACCTCTGAGCCTAGTGAGCTCGGCTTCTTGAGGGTTCGTGCTTTCGGTCCTTGTTCCAATTTAATGTCATGATTTTTAAGTCGAATAAGGTCATTTATTTGCTGTTGGCCTTGAAGGATTTTTCGAAGAATGTCGTTTTGCATAAATTGATTGGAATCTTTTTTGTTTTTATAAACTCTGTGAGCCTCATTAAATTCTCTAAGTGGAACCACATCCCCATCTCGATCATTATCATTGGAATACCTTTCCTGATAATAGATTGGCTGGTGTTGACTTTGTGGTTGATTTTCATATATTTCATTTGACAACTTTTGACTCAGTTCCGAATTTGATGGAAAGGGTACATCTTGAGTTCTTTTTCTGAAAATTCAAATTGCTTCTGTAGAGGATCCGGACTTAAGTCGTTTTGGGTTTCTTTTATGTTATCATCATCTCTTTTATGAAGTCGAAATGGAAGCTTGTAATCTCTAGCTGTCCTTTGATTTTGGTTAAAATATTTTATGTTGTTCCTTTGATTTGGTGCAAAATAGCTTTCTTGGGGATTGGTAATATAATCATTTGTATAATGCTTGTATCTATACAAACTTTCCGATTCAAAATCGCGAGACTGAAGGGAAATTTATCATTTGTTTTAATTTAAAAAACATTATTGTCACATACCCTCGCTTTTATGTTCTGTGACAGCACACTCAATAAAAAAATTACTATGTAAATAATGTACATTCTTTCTTGGCTGAGTAAACAAAACTAAAATTCCATCGGTTATACTGCATAATATTCCACCGATAATAATTAATTTTGTGTAAATTTTCCGCAGATTTTCTGTTCTAAAATGTTGAACTCTTAAAGCAATACATATTAGAAAAGTACGACTCTATATAATACAAGCAAGTATTATTTAATAGGTGAATATATACAGATTAGAGGTATAACGTCTAAAAATACTTACCTTTATAGAAAACTACAAAATTAAACAACGATAAAACATTTATCGACGATTAGTTCATTTATTTTGCTAAGGAAATTTAAAATGTTTATCGTTTTTTTTAGTTTTAGTGGACATGGCATATACATTGTGTATACGTTTCGAAATTGAATAAAATGTGATTAAAAAGAGTCATTAACTCATAGAGATGAACATTAATTTGATGATGAACTTGCAGCAAATCCACGTATACCATTATGACTAGATTTTGTTGTTTAATATTTTTTTTATACATTTTACAACGTTTAAACACTCCAAAAAATAAATGTATTAGTAATTCAGTTTGTTTAAAAAATTACATTTAATAGTTAACTGTTTTCATTTCATTTTTCCATCCATCCCAGCATCTTAGCTCAGCTTTAAAAACGCCGTCTTCATTTTGATTTCATTTCCTTGAAAATAATCTTAATATAACTTGTCTTCTTTATAATATTATAATATATTTTTTGTTTTTGGTTTCTATGCATAAATTCATAAAGTTCATAAATTGTTTCCACATTCGAAATACGATACAAAGGCAATTAGGTTTTGGTATTCATTTTAGGTTTGGTTTTCCGTTCCATCTTTTGTGTAAATCTTGCTAAAGTTTTTTGACTAAGTGTAAGGCCTGAAGAGAGCAGTAAATTATACATAGATGGGGTTTCAAACTCAGCATTGGAAAAGTATTGCATACTTTAAAGGTGGTCATTATGTGTTGTGTTATTTTTTTTTTTTATAAATCTGTGCGTTTGCCGTTTTAAAAACACCATGTTCAATAAAATACAATTTACAAAACAGGAAGGAAACATATTAAAAAATGTTGTCATATAAACAATAAATATTATCTGTTGTAATCCCTTTTTTGTTCTTTGCATAAAAAGAAAACCATATTCTCTTTTATTTCGGCTGGGATTAAATGACAAATTTGCTTAATAAAAGTAAGTGCTTTGTGTCTTGTTTTGTGATCTTTCATCATTATCATATTTATACGTTAACATTGTTGTAAAAAATCAACTAAGTTTTATAAAATTACAAAAATAATTGTCATTCGAATTATTTTTGTTCGCATATACAAATTTTTGCTAATTTATTTCTTTAATATTTGGCATTGGTTGCACCATATTAATCTATCAAAATAGTCAGTAAAACGTTGGTTTTTCTTTTATCTAAAGGCGTTAGGTATATAAAAAAACGTTGCTTTTATTAATATTCTAAGAAACTGTTGAAGGAGCAGCCGGGGACAAGGAAACTCATCGTGTGAAAAGGGTTTCTCTTTAAAATTGTTGGTCTTTATGTTGCCTCCTCAGTTAACACCAGCCTCCATCAATTCACTACATTTATAAAATAAAGTAAGACCAGTTTCATAATTTTTGGCGCAGTTTGTAAGTCTAAGAGTTGAAATTGTTGTTGCTTTTAGTGGTTTTTAGTACCGAAGATTGTGCCAGTTTTGTTTTGGTTTCCTTTGTTGTTTAACATTCGACAAGTATTTGGACTACGGCATAGTTTACAATCTATAGAAAACAAAAATATATTTATATATAAACAACAAACCGATCGTAGTCGCGTATAGTACATAATAGTTGTATAATATATAGTTCTGTGTACATTATCCCTAACGCATAAAGCTGTGCGTCAGGTAAAACATTAAAATTATGGTCAGCGGCAGCAGCTGAAGCGTCAAACCCAGCCGCGAGGCGTTGCCGCAATAGGTGTACAGTTCCTCCTAAAAATAAATGACAACAGAGGGTTTAAATTAGGATAAACATTTTGGATATGTACCATTAAAAAACCTACATCCTCGTGCTCCGTGTAGCACTCTTCGATGCGTCTCCGTTCGTAGAAACTCATATTGAGCTTGTAGCAGGGAAATATATTATCGTATTCCATCCGCTGGGGTTCGGTGGTCAGGCGTACATTGCGCGATGGCATCAAGACATTGACCACCACCAAAACCAGATTGGAGTTCGGTATCTTCTTGACTAGGAAGGGTCGTGCTGTAGGTGTTTCCACGATGTCATTGATGCCCACCAGGGCAGCGGGTTGCAGAGCGTACAGAGTAGACCGCATGTCACAGGCCTTATAGGTGGGATCTGGCTCGGGTTCATCGAACATGGCGTTTTCGTCGTCACTATCCTCTTTTGGCTTGGCAGCCGAAGTTTTTCCACCATCGCCCACTGCCACGTACTCGTCTTCAATTTCATCAGTGTATTCCATAACTGAAATGAAAATTAAATAGTACAAATATTTTAAATAAATATACTGTTCAGTTATTATAATTTCTTGAACACTTACACGGCGCTCCTTCAGCCCACCACTGAATCCTCTGGTACTGGAAGAAGAGCCGGCCCACCAGCCACTTCCAGCCAAAACTCAAGAGTCGAAGGGGCTTGAATTAAATAAAATCGATTTAGTTATAAATATATATATATAAAGTTGTTTGGCTTACATGCAACAGGCCATGTCCATCGCTTTCCGCTTTTGGCTCTTCCTGGCACTGCTCCTGGTAATCGTAGACGTCAATGCTTAGGAAGATGCCCTTTTCCACCATCGCGGACATCACATCGCCGTGGAACTCACCGAAGAACTTGCCTGTGGTGTTGATATTCTGTCCAATCACTATGTACGCATTGTTGTCAATTACCACACAATCAACATCGTCGTCCGTGCAGATGGGAAGGCAATTGTTGCACTACAAATAAGTAATTGATATATATATATATTGAAATATTCTTTAAAAAACTAACTAACATATTAAAGATTAAAACCCAAAGAAAACTTGGTAGACTCACATGATCCACTGCAGTTATATTGAAGAAGCGTTCCCACATCCGGGCGTGGGAGAATTGGAAACCCACAACGCAAGCGGGCGCCTCCTTGCCGCCATCCCTTGGGAAGATGGCATGGGAGGCGGTGACTTTAACCTCCCTGTCCTCCATGGGATCGTCGTAGTGCTTCACCGAGTAGACGAAGCTCTCCGCTCGGTCCTCGTGATGTTGCAGGATTGCACTCTTGTACCACGTCTCGTCAATAGCTGTGGTGTGGTAATCACCAAATTCCCGATCGGTGTCCACCTCAATCTCCCCGAAGATAAACTGCCAGCGGGTTAAGCCACTCATGGTAGCCACAAATCGCAAATCAGCTCCAAATCGCTCTATCAACTGGCGCTCTTCATCGCTTTCAAAACGCCAAACGCCGTAGCTGGAGTTCGTTACCTTGGCGTCAAAGATGAGCAGGTGCACCAGCTCCTTGTTGCAATAGTAGGCATCATCTCCCAGTGTTTTGCGGCCGCAGTTCACTGGAAAAGATAAGATAACATGCAGTCAGTCTAACGATATTTAGAATTACATCCATTTTCCAAACTTACGATCATCTTTGTCATCCCAATCGGATTCATCCTCAGCATATTGCTCTGGCCACTTCCAATCGTTTTTCATCATCTTGCCCAGAAACTCGCGTAATTCTGCCTCAGGTGTTTGGAACTCATGACCTTCCAAATAGTGGTACTTGCAATAAACCCTATAGTATGGAAAAATTTATAACTATATCCAATTTACGGTAAAGAAGGTTTACTCACCAATCGGGATGAACCTTCCAGTTATCTCCCATAAAGAAATCCGATATATTTATTTTCATATGCTTGTTTTTGTCCACCTCCTCGCCCACCTTAATCCAAGTTTTGCCATATTCGGTGGGCATTACGATGCCCAAGGTGAATGGGGTGTTTGGCAAGGGAGCAAAGAAGTAGTCCTGCTTCTCCTCGGAAACACGACGCATTTTGTCGTAATGGAATTTCACAGAAATGCTCTTGAACTCATTGCTTTCGTGCCGGACCATGGCATTTCGAATATTCAGAATGGATTCACCGGGCTCTCGAGGACTTTGGTCCTCAAAGAGATGTTCCACCTCAGTGAAGTCGATACTATTGTAGTTAGGATTCATCTTGCCATTGGTCTGTGGTGTAAAATAAACAACCTGTAGTACTTAACCAAATAAATTGTCAAAAATTTACCCCAATAGGCCTCAGATCGGGATGCAGCAGAACATATCCATTGTTGGATACCACGAAAGAATAGCCATTAACACCCAGCTGAAAAGTATTGTTAGTTAGTATAAACGATATTGGAAAAATTCTGTTCTCCCACCTTGTAGGGTAGTGTCAGCTTGTCTATATCTTCCACGGGCACGTCTGTTCCAGCGACTCCTAACAAACGTGCCCTTGGATTTGTGCTGTTCGCTAGTCGATAGGAGCGATCGAAAGCAGGAACTCCGACAGATATCATAAGACGAGGTCGTCGTTCATTGGAGGTTTTGGGATCGTACTAAAAGCGGTAAATTATTAATTATAAAATTAATCAAATTCTTTAAAGTCTTTAAAGTCTTTATACTAACCGTTTTATCGGTGAAGGCGTGCGTCCAGGTTGGCGGATGCTGTTCGTTTTGCAGTACGAGTGGCGTTGCAATAACATCGACGTACTTGAGCACCTCCTCGTGGACCTCGTCCAAAGTTTGGACGTGCGAATAGTATCCCCGATTCAGGCAGGCCATCCATTGAATTTCGCGAACCTTGGTTACCTCCTTGCCCAAAAGATAAGTAAAGACCCTGGTTTTCATCCGTGAGGTGCCGTTCTCGCCGTTGCCCCAGTTGTACTTCTGAAAGATTTCGGTGGTGTTTCCCGCCACGCCATCGGTGACTAACATTATGGCCTGGTTGCAGGTGGAATTGGTGCTACAATGACGGGCGTCATAGTACTTTTGCAACAACTGGAAAGCAGTATCGTAGGCCAAGGTGAGATTAGCATAATCCTCGGGATCTTTCAAATTTTCAATGTGCTGGTTAAAGACCTCTATATTTTCGGGTGTGGCCTGGACGAGGGCTCCATTAAAGCACGGTATTATGTCCTCCACTGTCTTTGAATAACGCAATATGGTGAAGAAATCGTTGTTGGAAAAGGTGTCCAATATACTGCGAATAGTGAACTTGGCAACATGAAGGCGGAAACCTGTCATTGAACCAGAATAATCTAGAAGGATGACAATATCCTTGGAACAGGTGGCTGTCTCAATATACCAGGACCTCTTCCGACAATCGTATGTATCGGCATCATCCCGATTTGCTCGGGTATCAGTCCATTGTGCTGCCGGATAGTGCCGCAAGATTCCTGTATCGGAGCCAAAGTATTGCCAAGATAATGCTGGATCGGATTGGTAATTCTGGCGAAAAACCTCGTCCAGCTGCTCAGACCACATGATAGTCTTCAACACCCGCTCCGATCGATCCCAAATATTCGATGGCACATGTACCGAACTGTGCTCCGTGTCCACTGGCGTATTGTAGAAATGTGTGTCCGGATTCAATTCCATCTCCTTATACATCCAGGCATACTCAGCTTCATTCGGTTCTAGTTCCTCGGAACTATTACCATTAAAGGTCGAATATTTACTAGAGATATAGGTGAAGTTCGTCAGTGCATAGGATTGATTAAACTCAAAATTCTCGTTCACGTTTTCCGCACGTTCCTGGATGCACCGAACTGCATCCATCTTTCTGGCCAGCATTCTGCCCACATTTTTAGTGATTGACTTGATCAGCTCGGTGCCGTTTTTCAGCTCCACGCGGGCATTGTACTCCTTGTATTTCTCTTTAATCTCCTGCGACTTGGTGATCTTCTGCGCAAGCGCGAACAGCTCGTCGCCAAACTGCGTTGCCCATTTGCCAACGCTGCAATTGAAAGGATATATAAGCGAAATCAGGTTCATATTTCAAACTTAATATTATTATTATTGCCCAAATTTAAAATCTTCAATTTAACATTTTGATTAGGGGTACAAATAAAATAACATGTTTATAGTTAAAATTCTGAGGCGTTTGTAAACTCTCAAAGAAATTAATCATATATTTTTAATTTCGTACTTTTTAGGTTGGATCCGTTTTGTTATCAAAAACACCGTCCAATTAAAATCTTCTTATATAAAGTATTCCTCCACAACGGCAGAAACAGTAAACAACACTTTGTCGACGTCAGAACTGCGCCACCGAGATGTCAACCACCTGTCCGAGCTCCACTAATTCAATTAGCGCACATGTTTGCCTGTGGCGTGTAGGGGGCGTTTGGGTGGGTGGTAGTTGGGTGGTGTTCACACCTTCCCTTACACCTTAAACCTGACCACAAAGGGGTGTCAACGCCATATTCCTGGCAGCGCAGTCGGCGTTCCACCACGAACAGCTGTTTGATGTTGGGAAATCAACAAGTGCCTGCGCACGCAACTTCGTTCTCTTTTGTTCTCTTATCTAGTTCTCTTGAAAAAACTTACTCTTGAAACTACTTTCTCTTGAATAATACGATCTCTTAAAACTAAAGCATGTTTTAGGGACGATTCCATTAGTTAATGCATGCCATTAGCAATAAGTGGTTTAACGATAGTTCGACAAAGTTTAAGCGATTGAACTTTTTCGAAAACTCTAAAGATTAGTATTACCAATTTATTTGAACTCAAAAATTAAATATTTCAAAAGTAATCAGTTTTGAATATTTTACTTTTCATGCAAGTATTTTTGATATTATCTGATTTTTATACTCTAGGCCTTGGAAACCCCTAGTTTTATATTTCTAAAGTAGTTTATTGTTCAGAAAATATCAATGTTGTCCTCAAACAGGGATCAAAATGTCCTTGGCCATTAGCCTGACAAACATCGATAAAAATAAATAGAAAAGGATTCCGTAATGAAATTAAAAAAATTACTTAAAGATTCAGAAAGCTATTGGCTAAAAAATTGATATAAGCAGAAGTTTTAATCTAATGAACCGGTGTTGTAAATGTATTTTAGAAAATACATTAATTATTTATTTTGGTAGCGCCTAGCTAAATGCAATTGCCTGACAACCGTTCGCGTGAGAATTTGGCATTTACTATAAACATTTAAAGATAGTCTATGCCTGCGCATGACCGCACTATTTTATCCCGCTCTTCGGCTCTTTTCAGTACGAGAATCTCTTGACGTGGCTTTTGATGTCGCCGACTCCGCCGGCGGCGCTGTTTCGGCCATTTTCATTTCACTTCTGTCGCCGACGTTGCCTTTGACACAGTTATTCCGCCAGCCCCGAAGCACCCCGATATATACCCTTGTATATACCCCGATGTACCCTGGTATACTCCTCAAATGCCCACAGACACCCTCAAGTGTTTTGGCCCGGTCGACGCTGGGTAAAATTGTTTTTGTCACTGCTTGCTAGTTGGAAATGAATGATGCCTCTCTGGCTTTTATTACGTTCTGGAGTTGTTCTATTAATTTGGCCACATTGCTTTGTCGTATCTCGTTCGACATTGTTTTAGATGGCCCTCGTTAGCCCCGACCACAGAAAATAGGGAACCACAATCACCCGGGGGAAATATATCATTTTCAGGGTCACAGAAATCTCTTCCAGCCGAAAATTAAATCTCGGTACCGCAGTGAAATTGATATGACACTTCTCACAACAAATTCAATAGAGACTTCAGGCGCATTTGAAAAAAATAAAAATATAAAAGACATTTCAATTATAAATTAGAATATTCAGCGTATTTGAAACTGCCTTTTAATCATATTTAGTATTTAATATATCAAAATTGTATTATTATCATAACCTTTTTTAATATTCTATTAATCTATCCGGTTTCAGCAACATGCCGAACAAAATACATGCACATTTTTCATAAGATTTTCCCGACTGAATTTCAACAGTGTTTAAATTAAAGATTGAATTTTTATTACGGTTCCCTTGGGCTTAAATAGCCATATTCTATTAATGCTCGGCATGCTGCAATGCGCCAAAAGTCCCATTTCCCCATTAAATATTCTTTGTAATGCGAATGGACATTAAATGATTTTCGGTCTCTGCTCTTTTCCATGCCTCAATTTTGTGGCTATTTAGTAGCGCTAATTTGGTTGGGGCCATTTTATTATGGGGTTTTTCGGTCTTTAATATTTCATTATTTATCATCCTACAATGTAGTTGGCTAATTGGACATTTACTTTAGTAAAATTTATGTGGCCTTGAATAGTTTTTTATGTCACATTTAGATTTCTTTGAAGATTCTTTTGATTTTCTCCAAGGGATTATGAATAACGAAGTATTGCTAGATTTATTTATAAACTTTCTATTACCCATTTCTAAGTAACAAAATAGCGTACATAATATTTCCTGTATTCTCTAATTAAATAAATACCTAATTTTTTCTTAATGTTGCAAACATTTACCAAAACGTTTATCACGAAAAAGTACAGATTACTGGATTCCCCCAAGTACCGTATTTACCTTAATTAATTGCACAACTTTTGGCATTATGTTTGGCGGGCCCAAACAAAATGTCCAATAAAATATTCATTTAGCGTAAATAGGCGTCAGAGTTTCTACCGGCTCTACCTGTTCGCGTCATTCCCAAAGTCAGCATGTCAGACAAATAATTTTGATGTGACTTTATGAGAACTTGGGGCACAAAACAAAAATTGCCAAGCGCCGCGACCCTCGGGCAAGGGAAATACATAATATCAGGGAGAGAGACATCTAGAGGAGCTGAATGAGTAACTGCGGGTAAAAATGCTGACGCACAGAGTAGGAAAAAAGTGCTCGAAAACAAAAGACAAGACGCTTAAACACGCTATGGGAAATGAAGGAAAAAATAAAAACGGGGGCACGACCTTCAGATTACCTTAACAAAAGTATTTATTATTATAAAGTTTAATAAATCAATCAAATTTTATCATTTTTAAAAGTAGTTTTTAATATTTTTAATTTGATAAAGCAACTATTTCAAAGTTAACTGTTTAAATGGGAAATCCTAAGAGTAAAGCAACATCTAAAATTTATTTTTGTAATATCTTATTTATATGCATTAAGTTCACAGCTTAACACAGAAGCTCTGCTTGGTTATTTTCTTGATTTTATCAGCTTAATTTATATTTGCAAATGTGTTAGTGATTGAGTTTGTGGGCTATTAGTTAAGTAATAGTCGTTGAAGGTCTTAGCAGCCAAGAATCTATATATGCATTCATATTCATAAATCAGTCGATGAAACTTTATATTTATTAATAACTTAATTACATAAATAACACAATCAGAGAAAAACTAAAATAAATACCGAATTAAATCTTTGATTTCTTGGTAAATATAAAAGTGTAACCTCTATTTACATATAACATTATTCATAGCCCACAGTCCAATAAGCCCATTTAATGCCTACAGGGAATATTCTATAGAAGAAAAAAAGCCACGAGGCTGCCAACGAAATTAGCATAAAATGTACGAAAAATTAACGAGCGACGTTGACAACGAGATGAAGGCGGCGGGCACGCCCCTAATTGACTGGTTTTGAAAGACCCATTCCGGAATCGTTGCGTGTCCATTAAATGTAAATATCCTGCTGACCAATTTCCACCTGAAGGGTGGCCCTCAAACTTACGCTTCATCCGCCTCCGAGGCCTCCGCCAAGTGGGTGGTGGTCGAGGGGGAGGTGCCGCCATGCGGCCCGCAAATCAGCAACAACAACAGCGGCTGGGAGAGAGAAAATGCGGTCAAAATGACAGCGAAATGTGTCATCAACTTTTCGCATAAACCAAACATTTTTCTCGCATTTTCCTTGTGTTTTTGTTTTCGATTCGATTCTCACTGGTATTGCTTGCAGGGATTATATCGTGGCATTTGGCCCCTTTTCTGGTCAAGCAGGGTACACTTTGAAAAACCCGGAAAACCCCTTTAAAATTGATATACAATTTAGGGTGGAGTCGCAACGTCGACGACGACGCAAGCAGAGCTTTTCTTTTCGCTCTTTACCGCACACAAAAACACACAAGCACACGCAGAGAACCACACTGAAAGGTACACGGGGCGTATGCGTAATGCGAATAATAATAACGATAATAACTCCGATTAACTCGAACCCGTGCAAAATGGTATTGTATAAAATTTTTCGTTTGCCTGTAGAAAAGTGGCCACGATTTTTCGTAATTTATTTTGGTATTTTAGTTTCCCTCAGAGCTGCGTGCGTTGAAATTTTCTATATATAAACGGCGGGGCTCCGAACGATTTGATTACACATATGGAACACACTGTCGTTTGTGACTGTATGTGTATGTGGACGGCCGATGTACAATTTTCTGCGGCCTTTCCTTTTTCCGTGCCACGAGCCGTCGACGTCGAAGAGCTGCGAACAACTGAAAAATGTGGAAAATCTAATCGGATTTCTGGCAACCTGAAATGTTTTCTCTTCATCACTGCCGTTCGTTTTCGGCCATTTTCTCTCTTTAAAGAGAGAGTCCTATTTATAGTGTGTCTCTCCTTGTTTACATTTCGAATGGTTCAAACAGCTGTTTTCTTTGGTTTTCCTTTATCTATTGATTTTGTCATGAGGGAATCAGTTGAATTTTCCCACGCTCCTCTGCTTTGTGCCGCATATTCACAACAGAGAGCCGTATTTTCCGCTTTTTCAAAGAGTTCTTGAGAAGAGTATTATCGAGATTCTTACACCCCAAGAGTTTCAGAAGTAATTTCCAATGCCTATGGATATTGTTCACAGTCTTGTTGAGTCAAGAGATTCGTTTTTTTTTTTGGAAACTGTTTATTTATAGAGCTTTGTTCAGGGTTTTGGGTCACGGAGTTGAGAACTCAATTGTTTTGGTTATTTGTGGCATGATAGATGATAAAATTATATATTTTAGGATCATGGCATAACATTTTTTATTAAGCATGTTATTATGTTTTGTGTGCAAGTTTTACAGCCTGTCCTAAAGAAAGTTTATGAAAATCTTATAACATATTTATAAAAGCATCTTCACTACGACTATCTTCATAAGGTATACTGTCAAGGTTTTTTTTTCATCATTTTAATTTGGATTTGCAGATTTAATGGGCTTATCTCATGGGATAAACTCGCACTTGAATAATAACGCCTGGGGTGAGTCATTAATTGCTGAGTCAGATTCATATGCCATCTCCATATTTCATGAACCTCAAAAACAGGTTTTGGGGTACCATCATCTTGCCATAATCCCGATTCAACTATTCTGGCTGCGTTTAGCAACCAAATCCAATTTCGGTTAGCACAAAAACCGAAAAAAAACATAGACACACACACACTAATATGGGATACGGCAAAGTTCAAGCGCGCCTACCGCATATCAGTAGCGAGTGCCAGACCGAAACATCCGCATATACATACAGGCACACATATACAGGACTTCTCTGGCAAGGACATGCAGGATGCCAAGTACCAGTACACAGTTATGGGGAGACAGGGTCAGAGGTTGCCATGATGACGATGACAACGCACTTAGTCAAATTTTTAATGAACTCAACAACGTTTTACTTTTACACAGAACAACACTGGCTCTCGGAGTTTGAGGTTTACGACTTAATGATACCCCATTATTTCAGAATCTTACTTTTTATAATGCTTATTCCATAAATAGTATATTTAAAAGTATATACGAGTATGTTCATTATTTTGCTTAAATAGTCCTTTTAAGATAGGTTTTTATAGCCAAACATTAATATCGACAAATTTAGACATAGATTAATATCAATTATTGTTGGATTTTTAAATTTGGTAAATAATTTTATGTTATTACAATACAAGCTAAAATAATAAGCACGTTTGTTTTTTGAATATATTAAACTATCAGAAATGCAATATACCCATTAACCTTTTAGCTGTAGGTGTAAAAACACAAACTACAGAAGCATATGATGGAGGGCCCTTTTGGAGTGCAGTTGCCTGTAGTTGCATGGCCAAAGGGTGGAATGCAAAAAAAAAAAAATGTTCAGTAGTGGCATTTCAGGTATTTTTCCCTGTTTCTAGCCACTGCAAGCTGGCTAAATTATGAGCATACTTTTAAGGGCACCCATCCTCTGCAGCCTCCATGATAATGTTCTCGTAATTGTGGCAGCTGTATCTGGCACGTATCTGCCGGATGAGAAGCAGGGATATTCGTGTGTGGTTTGTTGTACACTGAAAATAAAAATAATAAGATCATAAATCGTTAGATCAAGTTTAAAATATAGAGAACATTTTGAAAATTTTTAAGTACTTAGAAGTAAATTACAAAGATTTTTCTGTTCGTACAGTTTTAGTAAATAAGTATTGAAAAATTATTCTTAAAAGTTTTTATCATGTAGTGTCTATCCCGTCACGTCTGACGGTCCCGTCTCTTTTGGTATGGCTCAAGTGGGCGGAAAGTGAGGGCGAGAAAAACCGCAAAATGTTGGCTCTGCGCATTTCATTTGCATGAAATTATGAGCAGCCCAAAATTGTGGCATATTTTCCGCTGTTGACTCTTCTTCTTGGGTAACTAATAGAAGAGTCTGCCAAAAAACTTTGCACAACTCATAAGAACACACTTCAATTAGAGACAGATAGACCGGAAAAAAATTTCCAATTGAGTCGAATGCCTTGGAGCATATAATCAACTTTTGGCAATTCGAAACTTCTTTGTCAAAGGCCCCTGAGGGCAATTCCTTTGGCAATATTTTGCAACATCAACTTTCGTTTTCTTTTACATTTTTTCAATACAGGGTGATCAGGTAGTGTTTTATGTTAAAACACAATTAAATTAAAATGTTAGATGTTTGATGCTATAGATATAAAATTTTACTTAAATGTAATCTTTTACTATAAGAAGATTGTAATATTTTTTATAAATCGAATATAAAAATCTAAGCATTGTTAGAATAAATGAAAACAGATTTTATATATTTGATAAAAATTATTTGTAATCAGAAGACCCTGTGACCATAAATTTCCTAAGAGGAAAACCTATTTGAGTTCGTCCTTTCACCTACAGCTGCTGTTGACTACGGTCACGATTGCAACACCAACAATGACAATGAAAAAGAAAAGAATAAGCAACGAAAAAATAGGTTGACATCCAGTGTCAGTTGCCATTTCCATTTTACTGTTTGGATTGGTGCCAATTGCGCGAACGTTTTCCCTTTGGTCGTTTTGTTTTATCCTTTATGTCAATTTCGCGCACACAATTTTGGGCAGAGTCCTCGTGAATCTTTTATATGTTTATGGCATTGTTTGCTGTACTTTGAGTTGCAATAAAGTACAATAAGTAAACTTTGAACTTCACGAGCGACCAGTTTATTTTGTAAATAAAAAATTGTATCAATGAATAAAATCCATTTATTTCATTTTCAAAAGAGAAAAATAACATTACATACCGTGGTCTATCAAGGTTTAGCCTAGATAAGGTTATTTATCTGAAAACTGTTTTATTGCGAGTTCGAATATCTGAAATGCTTTAAAGTCATCTGGCTTAAATTGTTCCTCTTTGTTCGATGGGTTCATCATCTTGTTGTTGGTTCCTTCACAGCTGGCTAGTTACGTTTTATAGTCCGATGGCACATCAGCTCCATTTCATGTTGACCATAAGTCCTTTAACCGAAATTTCCATCGTCCCGTGTGCTTGCCCAGTGAGCGTGAGTAATGTAAATGACAGAGAGAGAACGTGTAAAAAGTTTGAACAAGTTAACATGTTTCGAATAATCTATAATGCCGCTGTCCTGTCCATCGCTTTGGGATTCTGTATCCTGTATTCAGCTGCCAGTGTCCTTTCATCATCATTGACAAATCGTTGTCAGGGCTACAGGGCTAATTGGATTTTCGGTTGTGATTTAATTATATTGGGAATTGTTAGCTTTGCATTTGGCTTTAATTGCATATCAAGTTCGCACAACGTGTTCAAATGACAAAAACAAAAGGAAAAATAGAAAAACAATACTAGGAGCCTGCTCATTAATTATGTCAGAACGGACAGAAGCCTAAAGGCCAGCAGCAGTTAACTGAGAATCGAGTGTCAGAAGGCACGGGAAGTGCCATAATTTATGGACTGGCGCCCATTTCATGGGCTCTTGTTTCCCGGTAAATTATGGCCCCCGAACGTGTCCTTATGTGTCCTTGTGTACTTTCTTCTACGACTGACAATGACACTGACACATTTGCTTGTTTTTCCTTTCCCTATTTGTCGCTTTAATGTCAGCTTCCATAATGTTTCCAAAAGCGAAAATACTCTCATTAGCCGGCTGTCGGAATTGAATTAATTTATATTGGGGGAGCCAATTGTGATAATTAGTAATTGTTGACATTATTTGCTGTCGAATGGAAATCGCCATGCCAATTGTTGGCTTTTGGTATTGCCGATTTGTGTCGGCTCTGCGGTTGGCTTTGCAATATTAAAACCGCTAATTAGTTGCATGACTTGGCAATAAGGTGAAATGTGATTGCGTCTGTACATGCATATTTATTTTTTCTTGACTCTGAACTTTTCAATTGCATTTAATATACATAATAATTTTATACAAATATGATTTCTCTAAAACATTTATATTTAGTTTGGTTATATAAAGATATTTCATAGAGAAAAGAGAAGTTTCTTGGCTACACATGTGGCTTGTCAGTATATAAATTTGCTCTTATCAAGGCTACTAAATAGATATATGGAGACGAAACATATTGGCTGGGAATCAATGATCTGCAGAATGAGGGAGAGTTTGTTTCTGTGGCCGATGAACGTGATAGATTTCTGAAATGGAATCAAGGAGAACATAACAACTAAGGCTTTTAATAATATAATATAATGCTGAGATAAATTGTAAAAATATTTCATAAACTTATATTTTTGTTCGAAATTTTTTTATGTTTTTATGCTTTATTTTTAGAACAGCTTCGAAATTATAATGTGAACCCGAATATTAATTAAAATATTGATTGCAGCTTCTGATCGCCTTTAACTTCAATATGTTAAAGAGACTTGATGAAATTCTTTATCAAAAAACTCTTGAGTACGCAGTGTTCATGGGATTTGATACGATAAGCACGAAAAGTTGTCTGTGACATTGTTTATGTCAAGGCTTAAGCTTTGGCTAACATACATATATATTTTTCCTTTTGTCTCGAAATGGTCCCGATGCTAGGCGTTTTTTTTGCATTTCCGTTTTAATTAGGCGAAAGAGCTTTTCGGCCAGATTTTCTTTTAAGCCCATCGGCCAAGCACTTTGCCTAATTTATCTTTTCAATGAGACCCCTCGGCACAGCCATGTTCAATTAATTTGACCCATTTTCATGAAACAAAGAACCTGAAACTGAGAGAGCTCATGACCCAACGGCAAACACCCTGAAGCAGCTCACTACTAATGAGA